GGCTGGATATAGCACTATGGGTCTGTGTTTGGTTCTGATTAATGGCTGGATATAGCACTATGGATCTGTGTTTGGTTCTTATTAACGGCTGGAGGTAGCGCGATGGATCTGTGTTTGGTTCTTATTAACGGCTGGATGTAGCACTATGGATCTGTGTTTGGTTCTGATTAACGGCTGGATGTAGCACTATGGATCTGTGTTTGGTTCTGATTAATGCCTGGATGTAGCGCTATGGATCTGTGTTTGGTTCTGATTAATGACTGGATGTAGCACTATGGATCTGTGTTTGGTTCTGATTAATGGCTGGATGTAGAACTATGGATCTGTGTTTGGTTCTCATTAATGCGCTATGGATCTGTGTTTGGTTCTTATTAATGGCTGGATGTAGCACTATGGATCTGTGTTTGGTTCTGATTAATGACTGGATGTAGCACTATGGATCTGTGTTTGGTTCTGATTAACGGCTGGATGTAGCACTATGGATCTGTGTTTGGTTCTGATTAACGGCTGGATGTAGCACTATGGATCTGTGTTTGGTTCTGATTAACGGCTGGATGTAGCGCTATGGATCTGTGTTTGGTTCTGATTAACGGCTGGATGTAGCACTATGGATCTGTGTTTGGTTCTGATTAACGGCTGGATGTAGCACTATGGATCTGTGTTTGGTTCTGATTAACAGCTGGATGTAGCACTATGGATCTGTGTTTGGTTCTGATTAATGGCTGGATATAGCGCTATGGATCTGTGTTTGGTTCTGATTAATGGCTGGATGTAGCACTATGGATCTGTGTTTGGTTCTGATTAATGGCTGGATGTAGCACTATGGATCTGTGTTTGGTTCTGATTAATGGCTGGATGTAGCACTATGGATCTGTGTTTGGTTCTGATTAACGGCTGGATGTAGCACTATGGATCTGTGTTTGGTTCTGATTAACGGCTGGATGTAGCACTATGGATCTGTGTTTGGTTCTGATTAATGGCTGGATGTAGCACTATGGTCTGTGTTTGGTTCTGATTAACGGCTGGATGTAGCACTATGGATCTGTGTTTGGTTCTTATTAATAGCTGGATGTAGCACTATGGATCTGTGTTTGGTTCTGATTAATGGCTGGATGTAGCACTATGGATCTGTGTTTGGTTCTTATTAACAGCTGGAGGTAGCGCTATAGATCTGTGTTTGGTTCTGATTAATGGCTGGATGTAGCACTATGGATCTGTGTTTGGTTCTGATTAATGGCTGGATGTAGCACTATGGATCTGTGTTTGGTTCTGATTAATGGCTGGATGTAGCACTATGGATCTGTGTTTGGTTCTGATTAACGGCTGGATGTAGCACTATGGATCTGTGTTTGGTTCTGATTAATGGCTGGATGTTGCACTATGGATCTGTGTTTGGTTCTGATTAATGGCTGGATGTAGCACTATGGATCTGTGTTTGGTGCTGATTAATGGCTGGATGTAGCACTATGGATCTGTGATTGGTTCTGATTAATGGCTGGATGTAGCGCTATGGATCTGTGTTTGGTTCTGATTAATGGCTGGATGTAGCACTATGGATCTGTGTTTGGTTCTGATTAATGGCTGGATGTAGCACTATGGATCTGTGTTTGGTTCTTATTAACGGCTGGATGTAGCACTATGGATCTGTGTTTGGTTCTGATAAACGGCTGGATGTAGCGCTATGGATCTGTGTTTGGTTCTGATTAATGCTGGATGTAGCGCTATGGATCTGTGTTTGGTTCTGATTAATGACTGGATGTAGCACTATGGATCTGTGTTTGGTTCTGATTAATGGCTGGATGTAGCACTATGGATCTGTGTTTGGTTCTTATTAACGGCTGGATGTAGCACTATGGATCTGTGTTTGGTTCTGATTAATGGCTGGATGTAATAACTTGTTGAGATAACTACCCGATTTCTGATAACCATATGTGTCTGTGTGTGTGCTTAATGTTGTGGTGGTCGCTGTGTTATTACTGGCAGTCAGTATAATACATTTCTACCACTTCCTGTTCAGGAGCCACTTTCAGTAAAGCGAATCGGCATATTAATAATCTTCACATTTCTTTCACACAGGCCGTGAAGGATACGTCTGTAAGTAGCCATCACAGAGTGTAATTTAATATTATTATATGTTTGTATCACACCAAATACTGTTAGTTTGGTAGGATTTACCTGTCCCGGTATCATGTTCGCCAGACTTCGCTCTCTGTTAATTAGTGTCTGTATTTGCAAGCTTAGCACTATTGTCTGTATTTGCATGTTATCAATGCACACAGGTTATTTTCTAATATTATTTCACAATTCTGTATTTTGTAGATTAAAAAAATAAATTTCAGTAAAGATTTAAAGTGCTCCCACTGTGTCCTGTATCTTTAATGAGAAGTCATTCACTGCCTGTCAAGCCTTGTACTACAGACTCAATGTGATGGCAGGACAACCAGTTTAATGGATAATAGTGAATTATTAGATTGTGATTCTTCCCCTGGGATTATATACTGGGAGTTAATTGTATTACACTGAAAATATTACATCAATCAGCGAACTGTGTCCAAACATCGCCACGTCATGCTAGACATTGTGAATAATACAAACAGACTTTTAATAAAGTGATACTAAACGCTTTTAGTAGTATCTTTTAGGTTCTATTTGCGTCTCTCTCCCCCTCCCTTTACCTATTGCCTGTGTAGACGCTAGTCCACGGTTTAGGCAGGTGGGCATTATTTTTCAGCCTGTTTAGCTGATCTTTACACAGCTGCTGTTTTGCTGCATATATATGCCCCTGTGTATCATTTGGATAGATAGCGCACATTTATTTGCCTTTCCTTCCTCTATTGGTTACTTCTATTTTTTGTTTCCCTTTAGATTCAATAAAGGTAGGGCTCCCTTCTTATATATGTTATTCTCCACCTGGACTACTAGTCCACAGCTTGTATTATACCCTGGGTTATTCTTTGTTATAATGGAATATATCTATGTGAATATTTACAGATATCGTATTATTACCACCTCTAATATCAGCTCCCGGTCCTGTATCCAGCTTGTATTATACCCTGGGTTATTCTTTGTTATAATGGAATATATCTATGTGAATATTTACAGATATCGTATTATTACCATCTCTAATATCAGCTCCCGGTCCTGTAACCAGCTTGTATTATACCCTGGGTTATTCTTTGTTATAATGGAATATATCTATGTGAATATTTACAGATATCATCGTATTATTACCATCTCTAATATCAGCTCCCGGTCCTGTATCCAGCTTGTATTATACCCTGGGTTATTCTTTGTTATAATGGAATATATCTATGTGAATATTTACAGATATCGTATTATTACCATCTCTAATATCAGCTCCCGGTCCTGTAACCAGCTTGTATTATACCCTGGGTTATTCTTTGTTATAATGGAATATATCTATGTGAATATTTACAGATATCATCGTATTATTACCATCTCTAATATCAGCTCCCGGTCCGGTATCCTACTTGTATTATACCCTGGGTTATTCTTTGTTATAATGGAATATATCTATGTGAATATTTACAGATATCATTGTATTATTACCACCTCTAATATCAGCTCCCGGTCCCGTAACCAGCTTGTATTATACTCTGGGTTATTCTTTGTTATAGTGGAATATATCTATGTGAATATTTACAGATATTATTGTATTATTACCACCTCTAATATCAGCTCCCGGTCCGGTATCCAGCTTGTATTATACTCTGGGTTATTCTTTGTTATAATGGAATATATCTATGTGAATATTTACAGATATCATTGTATTATTACCACCTCTAATATCAGCTCCCAGTCCCGTATCCAGCTTGTATTATACTCTGCGTTATTCTTTGTTATAGTGGAATATATCTATGTGAATATTTACAGATATCATTGTATTATTACCACCTCTAATATCAGCTCCCAGTCCCGTATCCAGCTTGTATTATACTCTGCGTTATTCTTTGTTATAGTGGAATATATCTATGGGAATATTTACAGATATCTTATTATTACCACCTCTAATATCAGCTCCCGGTCCCGTAACCAGCTTGTATTATACTCTGCGTTATTCTTTGTTATAGTGGAATATATCTATGTGAATATTTACAGATATCATTGTATTATTACCACCTCTAATATCAGCTCCCGGTCCCGTAACCAGCTTGT